CAGAGCAGTTTTGTCTTGGATTAAACAGTTCTCCCAGAGAGAAACTGAATTTCTACATGCACCTTTCTTGACTTTTGGTCTGTTTTCTCCTTTTCCTACAGATGGCGCCTGCATGACAGGCGGAGCGGAGCCCGGCGGGAGCATCTCTAGCAGGTCTCCTCGGTGAAGGGCCGATAAATGACACTTTTCCCCGAAAAGCCAGGCAGTTGAGAGAGCGATAACCTGTCGGGAGCTGATTAGTAGCAGGAAGGCGTTTTCTGGTAGCCCCACGTTAACCGTGCTTCCCCAGGGGAATGCTGCCTGACGCCAGGCGGGAGGGGGACAATGGGGGACATCCAGAAGCTGTATCCAGGGTAGCCCAGGTGTGCACAAGCCCTGCATGGACACCTTGAGCCCAGACATCCTGCTGAGCACCCAGGCAAGCACGATTGTGGCAAGGCAGTGGCAAGGAGGATGATGGGGCTGAAGTGTCTGGCACGGCTGTGCAGTCACCCGCGCTCAGCTACAGCTCACCTCTAAAGGCCAGTCAAAAAAACCAAGCATTTCATTGGCATTTCTGGATCACCAGCAGGAGACATGCAGCCGATGGTGGGATTGGTGTGGCTACTGACCAGACTCTTAGCAGCACACAGCCACCACTGCCCCCACACAGCCCTCAGGTGGGAGAAGGGTTTTGGGGGTACAGCCCAACTCTCCCCACCTGGGATACTCTGGGAGGGACACAGCAGTGCTTTGTCATGCCTGGAAACTACTCCCAGGCTGCTTCCCCTCTGCCTGCTCCCTCCTGGCACTTCCATGAGGATTCAGCCGGAGCTGTCAGATGTCAGCATCACTCCCAGTCCTCCTGGGTAACCCCAGGCAAGGTCAAGTGACAGCATGGGCTACCATTTCTTCACACAACAAAGCCACTGTGTGCCCAGCTCTGACTTCACAGAGCCAGCACAGCTCCCCACATCCTACTTTTACAGTTCCTAGCTCATTCCCCTACACAAGCTCTCTATTTCACAACCGTGCCAAACAAACTCCTGGTCTCGGCTTGCTGGCAATAATTAACCAGATGTTATCTCCACACTCCACCTGCATTGTACATGTACATTGTACATCCAGCCTCTTGGCTCCTTTCTGAGCTTGGCATTTTCAGCAGCCCCGGGCCATGTGCCAGTCCAGAGCAGACAGAACCCTGTTGTGCTGATAACCCAATTTCCCAACCCAAACGGTACCACTGGGCCCTAAGAAAGCAGATTCCAGCCCAAAACACAGCTTTGGGACAGCCAGAGGAGGAGCTGCATTTACTGACTGCCCCGCCAACTAGGTTTGGTTTTCCAGCGGTAAGTTTGCCATTTACTGTCCCTGGATTTCAGGGGGAAGCTGAGCCATTCCCTTGCTGTGACATTGCCAGGGGCAGCGTGAGGCAGTGTCCCCAAACTCTGCTTTTCTCACAGCACCTGCTCAGGTGCAGCCAGCGCTGCCCAGCACTTCTGCATCCCCAATGACCTCTGGGTGCAGAGCAGCCCTTGGGCTGGCACATGATGAACCCAAGGGAGCTGGCAAGGGAGAAGGGGCGCAGGGAGGCTCAGGGAACACTGCCTTTTGTCTCAGCACAGTAAAGCCTGGGCATGCCCTGGGTCACCCCCCTATTGATTGGGTGTGGGGCAGGAGCTGAGCTGGCCTGGTGCACCCCTCCACACTGTCACCTTGGATGGCTTCAGCCCCCCAAAAACAGCGTGGGAGGTGGGGACTCCCCATGGCTCCCTGGCCGGGCAGCCAGGAGCTGTCGAGGTTCATCTTCTCACATTGTGTCAGCACACGGGCACTGGAGGAGCCTGGCAGCCCCAGCCCTGAGCAGGTCCAAGGCAATTCCTTGTCCCCATGGAGGGGAAGGACAGGGAGGAGGGGGTGCAGGTGGCATCGCGGCTGAGGGGACAGCAGGACACAGCCAGCTGGGCACAGGGACACAGATGGTGCTGACAGAGAGCTGCAGCTCTGACCAGCGAGTGATGGGCCAGGAAAGAGGATTGCTGGGAGAAGAACAGTCCAGATGACACAGAGAAAACACCTTGCTCAGGACCAGCAAGGAAAAGGGGAAAAAACCAGAAATACACCCAGAAACACTGGCCAAGTTCAGCACAACCCTGGCACATTGGTCTCTCTGGGTAGAAGAGAAACTAAGCCAATTTGCAAGCCCATATCAGATCTCTCATCAGAAACATGGTTCCCAAGGGAATCTTTTGAGCAACCAATAAAGCCAGTCAAAGTCTGGGAGCTGGGGAGGCCTTCTGCTGCCTACTGAGATGGCTGCAGAAAAAATGGAGCTGCAGGACTCAAACTGTCCAGCAAATAGGTGGCCTGGACAGGGCTAGCCACAGGTTTGAGAAAACAGGTATAAAATTGGTGCTCATTCCGAGGCCCTTCTCCGTGGCATAAAGGTGGAAAAGCAGAAGGTGTTTCAGCGAAAAGTTTGTTAATTTACAAAAAAAGAAGTGCAATCTAAAAAAGGAGAAGTAGATTTCAGCACTTCCAGAGGGTTGGTCATTACTCACAGAATCATACTGCCATGGCAGCAGCCTTGCCCCAGGCAGGGAAACAGGTACAGGAAGAGACCTACACAGTGCAGAGACCTGAGAGAGCAAAGAGGAATCTGTAATACGAATTGCAATGACCAAGGCAATGACTATGGATTCTGTAAACGAATTTAAAAGCAAAATTTGTCCTTTACATAATATGGGAGAGCAGGTAACAAGAAACAGCAGGTGCAGGAGAGTTCAACGATTTCTGTCCTTCAGTCTCCACAAAGAGCTGATCATGGCATATAAATTATCACCATGATAGGCATGAGGAGGCAGGGGCCACTGCAGGCTAGAAGGGGCTAAGGAGTAATCTCATTCTTCCATATGCATTTAGTCACAGATGGCCTGTGCAAAAGTACAGCTACAGCCAATGATCCTCCTTCTCCTAACCATGTCAGTAGGTTTTCACACCTCTCCAGTATTGTCCAATACCCAGGGAACTCATAGCATCTCAAAGTTTGCAGCTTGAACATCCCAAGCCTCTGGAGCTTTCTCCAGCAATCTCACATCTTTGCTGAAGCCTCCCCATATCTGCAGGTTTCTGTACCTCCCACCCCATGGATGTGAGAGGTAGTGAGTNGGAACTTTCTCCAGCAATCTCACATCTTTGCTGAAGCCTCCCCATATCTGCAGGTTTCTGTACCTCCCACCCCATGGATGTGAGAGGTAGTGAGTACCCGTGCAAGCTGGGACAGTCCTGGCTGGAATCTGGGCCCATTTGCAGGCAGCACAGAGACTGGAGAGGGGGGACATCTGCACAGGACAGCGGTGAGAACGGGCTGAGACAGTCAAAATCACAGCCTGCCCAGGAGAGAGGAAAAAAATGGGACTTGTTTCATCCCAGGAAGACATATCCCATGTGCAAGGAGGACACAGAGGGCAATTGGCAAAGGTTAGGAAAACCCTCCTGACTGTAGGAGCGGTGAAGCACTTAAGGCTGGGCTCAGAGGGGCTGCACATCCCTCTGCTCGGGCTTCAAACACACACTGCCACCATGTCCCCACGATTCGGGGGTGGATGAGACAATCCCTTCCCTCCGTACTCCTCTCCCCTACTGAGTGAGCAAACCAAAGCTCCAGAGGGATTTGTTTTCAAGTCCGTGTGGGTTTGCCCGTGCTTTTGCCTGCAGCCTGCCTTTAGTGCCAGCTTCGGGAGCGCGCTGCCTGCGGTGTGTCGGAGCGGGGCCGTGCGGCAGTGCTGGGGTGTTTGCAGCAGGACAACTCTTTCCCAGCGTGGGGGAAGAATCATTATCTGCTCCACGCCTCGCGGCACAGCTTTTCAGAACAAGTGCGCGGCCCCTGATAGCAGTGGCAGAGCGCAACAAGCCGCACCCGCCCATTACAATGAGACACCGGCTGGCTCCGAAATGCGTTTATAAACAGAGAATTAAGGTCTGCTTCGACTCCTGTCCGTAATGGAAATGGCTGGCCGGGCAGCGATGCCGTCCTGCCAGCGTGTTTAACCTGACCACGGCAGTGACGCCCGGGCAGCACTGCGGGGACGGGGCTGGGCTCTCACCCTGAGCCGGGCTGTGCCGAGCCGTGCTGGGCCAGGCTGTGCCGTGCCGAGCCGAGCAGAGCGGTGCCGTCGGGCACATGGGCAGGAGGGCGGGGCCCGCGGCCTGACATCACGGCTCCGTGCTCCGTGCTCCGTGCTCCGCGCTCCCGGCCGGCGCCGCTCGCCCTCCCGCCGCCGCAGAGGTGAGGAGCGCGGGGGGACGGGCACGGCGGGGCACGGGCACGGGCACGGGCACGGGCACGGGCACGGGCACGGGCACGGGCACGGGCACGGCCGGAGCCGCGACCGGGGCTCGAACCGCCCGCGCCGGGCGTGCGGGGCGGGGCGGGGGAGGCTCGGCTCAGCTCAGCTCGGCTCGGCTCGGCTCGGCTCGGCTCGGCTCGGCTCCAGGGGCGGAAACGCTCCGACTCCGGCTCAACCTGCGACGGACGGCGCTTCCGCCCTGGCCAGGGGAAGATCCCGGGTCAGCCCTGGGTCCCGGCCCCCGTTCCGCCGCACCCCCGGCCCGGGATCCCCGCGGCGGGGCTGGGGCTGCTCCTGCTCCTGCCCGCGGCCCTGCGCTCGGGCAGCGGCTCCCGGCCCCCGGGGCGATTTCGGACACAGCCGCCTCGGTGTTGATGCTGGGGCCGGGTCCCGGGCGGAGATTTCCGCGGGGGCCGGTGTGTCTCGGTCCGGCGGTCACTGGGGAGAGGGCGGTGGGATGCTCGTCCCCGGCAGCTCCGCGATGCGGGGTGCCCGCGGGAAGCGCTTTCCTTCCCGTGGCTGCTGGACACATCCGTGCGGGTGCGGGAAACTCCCTGGCACCGGGAACACACCCCACGGAACGGAGCGGGTCGGCTTCGCTGTTCCGAGTGAGCGCAGCGAGGGTGGATGGATGGATGGATGGATGGATGGATGGATGGATGGATGGATGGATGGATGGATGGATGGATGGATGGATGGACGTTCAGGCTGTGCTCCTCAGGGAGCAGCACTAGGCGCTTAGGTTTCACTTTTCATTCTCAGGTTGCTAAATGCTTTGAGGAGATGAGTGACTTTTTCCGTGCCAGGGAGAAATCAGCACCGAGATATTAAAAAAAAAAACTTGGGGAAAATCTTGGCCAGGGCCCAGGATCCCTCAGAGGCAAGCAGGGAGCAGCTGTGGGTCCCGATGTAGGGACTTGTAAAAGCTACAAAGATTGGATGTTTTTGGGGGGAACTGCAGCATTTGATCCTTGTAAGAGTAATAAGGGATGGAAGCTGTGAAGGAACTGTAGAGGTGACTTTGTAGTAGGAACATCCCACAGGTGGTGGAAGCTGGGGTGGGACTGTCCCTGTCCTGTGGCCCTGTGCAGGGTGTGACATCTGCCCATGACAGATGGACACTGGGGAGCTTGGGGGAGTGTTTGTGTTCATAATGCCTGAGCTGGACAGAGGGGTACAGAGGACCCCCAATCATTTCCATCAGAGTAGTCTAAATAAAACTAATCCATAGAGAATTGCCTCTTGTGGCAAGAAACCAAAACTGAGAGACAGCAGGAGAGGAAGGCTGTCGCCTACAGCATCAATACTCCTGTGGGCTGAGGAGATGCAGGACTAATAAGATTTAAATACTGCATCAAGCTTTCATTTTCTCTTCTTCTAAAATCACATTTGCTATGAAACAAATGTACAGTAATATAAGATGCCACAGTCACTGCACATATTTGATTTCCTCTGTGATTATAAAGGAGAAAATGTTGATGACTCAACAAGTCTGTGTTTAACAAAACTACATCAAACCCCAGGAAAACATGCTCTTTGATGGCATAATAATTTTTTTGTTGTTTATTTTGCTCTTTATTTTTGTTTCAGGGTTGTTTTGCTTTTTATTGTTAAGAACTATGCTTTGACTATGACCTTGTAACATCACATCCATAAATAGAAGTAGGTTTAGATTCAGGGGAAACACATTTTTTCCAGTGATGGAAGAAGTAGGCCAGCCATGCCAGCTCTCATGAGAGGTGGGAAAGGCAGTGGCAGCTGTGATAAGAAATGTCACACACTAGGAATTAAAGCACACAAATTTGTTATCTATAAGTTTACTATCATTGATTAGAGTTAGCTTTTTGTGAACATCATAATGGAAGAAAATGCTATTTTCAAATTTGAATTTACTGCTGCTCCATAGGTTTTTCTATGAAAACCTACAGTGGATTAAGCAGCTTCCCATCTTCATCAAAGTTTAAGTGAACTGTCACTTAACTGAAAGTAAAAAGCTTCTGAAAGTACATCGATCACATGTAAGCTTCCAACATATTTCCAAAAGTCTTTACATACTCTGGGGCCTAAACATTTTGAAAGTATCCTGGGGTTTAAGATATGGAGACAGAAATTCTTCCCATCCTTTTTCCAGGTTCTCAGATTTTCAGTGAGTCTCTCTAAAGCCTTGGTTGTGGCAACACGTGCATTTCCATCTAGTATGAATACACCACTGTAGTCTTTGGAAAAAATGTTCTAGGAGCACCCCATGGGATGTAGGCTTCAAGAATCAGGGTCTGTAGGTAACATGTCCACCACTGAAGGAGGCTGATATCAACTGCTGATCATGTGCAAGCACCAATAGGTCATAGAGCTACACAGTGGTTTGGTTTGGAAGGGACCTTAAAGATCATCTCATTCCAGCTCCCACCATGGTCAGGGGCACCTTCCACTAGGCCACATTGCTCAAAACTTGGTCCAGCCTGATCCTGAGCACTTCCAGGGTTGGGTCATCCACAGCTTCTCTGGGTAATCTGTCCCAGTGCCTCACCACCCTCATAGTGAAGAATTTCTTCCTTATATCTAATATAAACCTGCCCTCCTTCACCATAAGGACATTCCCCATTGTCCTACCAGTACAGCCCTTGTGAAAAGTCCCTCTCCAGCTCTCTTCAGGTACTGGGAGGTGCTCTAAGGTCTTCCCAGTGCCTTCTCTTCTCCAGGCTGAACAACCCCAGCTCTCTCAGCCTGTCTTAACAGGAGCTCAGCCTTCTGAGCATCTCTGTGACCCTTCTTTGGACTCACTCACATCCTTCTTATGCTGGGGTTAGATACAGGACAGAACCTGTGCCAGTGCAGCTTGGCACAGTGGTGAAATACATGGTGTTTGTACTTGTCCTGCACACGTGGGTCTGGCTAACTCATTGGGCCTGGGGGGAGGCATGTTGTTCACATTGCCCCTTTTTGTCTCTCTGGGCTGACCTGAAAGACCCCTGGCAGAGGAGGGGAAAAGGTGAAGCAAGCTGGATCTGCTGTGCAGGATGCTGGACTGAAGGCAAACGGTGTGAGAAGAAAGGGAAGGCAGAATGCTGCTGAGTTGATTTCCAGCAAAGTGCATCTCTCTCCCACCCATCTGGATCCCCAAAGATAACTACCTGGTCAGCCAGTTGTGTTTGCCTCTCTCCCAGGAGCTTCCCAGGAGCTGCTGGGAAAATCAGAAGAGGCAGTACATGGCCCTACATTCCTTGCCTTTCTTGTTTTCACCACTGTGCTTATTCAGGGCTGGCTCAGAACTACCTCTGTACTGTGTGTCATGCCTGTGCTCGGTGAAGGGGGAAAAACACATCAGCAGGGGATGGGCTGGCCCTCTGCCATAGGCTGTGTCTTCCTTCCACCCCACACTGCCTCCCAGGCCATCTTCTCCCTGTGAGGTCCTGTACATCTTCTGAGTGACTGGGTGAAGCAAAATGAGAAAGGCAGGAGAGTGCTGATCTTGGAGACCCTTCTGACAGCACGGAAATAGCCAATACAAATATTTCCATGCACACACAGCACAATTCTTCCATGCCTTTCCTGGAAAGAAACAAATGGAGCCTGCCAGCTCCCTGTGGTGACTGCTGCAGTCAGGTCCTGCCATCTTTGTATGCCTGGAGAAGGATGGAATCCTCAGCTCATTTTAGACAGAAACACCTCCACCCATGGTGTCTGGCTGCAGGGAATTACTAGATTTACCTGAGAAGCTTCCACCATCCAGGTTTTGGGTTGCTTTCCTGCTCTTCTCGCACCTGGGGAGGGGAAGGCTCAGAAATAGGTGAGTCAGTAATTGTTAACTTGGTAAGAGCAGCAAAAGAATGAAGACCCCAAAATAAAACAAGTGAAGCCATACAAGACTTAACTACAGTGTTTGTTGTAAACCACTCCTTTATGTCATTTAAGAACTGTGAGATGCTAAGCTGAGAAAATAACCTTCTCATTCAGTCCCATCAGCCAGATAAGCTCCTGTGTGCTGTGTCAGCATCAGCACTGCTCTAGCAAACTCTGTCTTGCTTCAGGTCTGTGCCTTCCACGGTCTTACAGTGAAACCTCAGGATTTCCCAGACTTTCAGATTTCCATTTCATGATGTTTTATTACAGGGTAGGTCTTCCTCAGGCTTCTCATTACTCTATCAACATAGTGGGCACAGGCAGCAAGATGTTTTTGCAGGAGAGCAGAGGAAGTTGTTCAGACAAGGACTTTGCTGCAGAGAAGTGGTACTGAAAATGGAGGCAAATTTGGGGGGGAAAGTTTGAGGATATCTGTGGCAGAACCTGTTGGTAACTGTGCTTTAAAGTACATGGTTTTGATGAAAACAGGCCAAAGGTTTGTTTTCCAGTTGTTTATCATAGATAGGTAGTTTTCCTGCTCAGCATTAAAATGAAGGGTTTATCCTTGGGGAGGGAAACTGTCCCTGCAAAGTGATCACAGGCTGGTGTAGTTCTATAGAACTGTAGCCAAAATGTCTGAGCTTGTGTGGGAAAAATTGGTTATTTTGTCCTGTGGGAAATTCTGGTCGCCCTTTCTCCTCTACTTTCCCCTGTTCTGAAATATATTTTGGAATTTTGGTCCTGGTGAAGAACATCTTGTGGTCAGGGACATGGACATGCCTTAGGCTTCATTGCTGGTTTCCAAAAACAACATTCTCAGTATTTTTCAGTGTATAAACCAGAGAGTGTTTGGAGTTGGGAGGGTCAGTGCCTGTCAGCCCGTGTTTTCATTAGTGTGTGATGGAGAAGGGAGGCACATACTGAATTTCTAGGTGACACTGAGCTAGGAGGGACTGGAAACATTGTAGAGAAGAGACTAAAAACTGAAGTTTGTGACAGGCTGGAGAGCTGATTTAAAAAACCAGGGCACATGTCCTGTCCTGTGTGGTATGACTGACTGACCGCCTGGACACCAGGTGAGCGACCAGCCAGCCAGTGGCCACGGGGAGCCAGAGGACAGGGACACTGTGCCCCATGAGTCAACAGGGGCACACACAGTTGTGCAAAAGCAAACAGTCTTCTTGGGATGAGGAAAGAGAAGTGGTGCATTGAGGAAGCAGCATCTCTGCTCTAGGTGGTGCCTTTTAGGAGCTCCGTTGGAAAATGCAGTTCTGGGCATCCTCCAAGAAAAGTGAGAACAAGGAATAGAGGCTGAGTTGTTGGACATTCGGTAAAAAACAGCTCTGATGGAAGAGTTGGGTTTCACTTGTGCAGGAAAAACCGAAGGGAGATGTGAAACCTGTTCTCCAAATACAGAACGAGTCTGTCTGCAGAGGAGAAGGCAAAACATTTGCCATGTCCTTTACGGGTAAAAGAGGAAGGGATAAGGTTAACTGGATTGAGAGATAAAGAGGAGAGAAAGCAGGGCTCTGCAGGAGCTTATGGAAGTGGTTTTAGCAGATAAATACCTGATAAATTAGGTAATCAGATAAAGAGCTGCCCTGGGGCAGGAGGAGGGATGAGGAAATGTGAATGCGAAGTGCATCAGGGTGGAGAAAAGTTGCAGGGGGACATGTGGCAGCTCTTGGAGCCCCACAGCAGGAGTGGGGTCACAGCAACCCCACAGGTTGTGTGGTCACAGCAGTCCTTGGGGGTACAGCAGATGTGTCCCCAGTGCATCCAGTGATGCCAGCTCGGGGCAGAGCAGGTCCCCTCCCGCAGGTCCCTGTCCCACCTGCCCAGCACAGGGCATGGAGTTCACAGCCCCCAGTCCCTGTCCCGTGTCCCTGCAGGTGAACGGGCTGAAGGACACAGCAGGGACAGCCCAGCTCCAGCATTTCCTCATTCTCACGTCCTGGCTGGCAGCCCAGGTGGGTTTGCAATATGGCTTTTCTGGAAGGGTGATTTACATCCTTTGCCAGTTCCTGGTTTGCGCCATTTGGGAGATAACTCTGCTTTGGAAGGAGAAAGAACAAAAGGGGCATGCAAAAGGGCAGCAAACTTGGTTTCCCTGACTCTCTCTTGCAGGCAGAGCTGGGGAAGTCATTTCCAGTCAGCCTGGGCAGGACTGAAAGGTCTCCAGAAATGTGCACCAGAGCTGAGATTAAAGAAGCTTTGGATAAGCTCTTTTATTACTTAAATCTGTTCCAGTTCCAACAAGTTCAGGCTCATGGCACTTGCTGTGCTCCTGGGAGGGATGCTCTGTGTGTGGGAAAGACACTTAAACGTTTGATTTTCCCCAGAAATAAAATGGTGGCAGCACAAAGAAAAAGAGTATTTCTGCTCACAGCAAGACCTGAGTGCTACGCTTCAGGTGCTGAATGCTCCTCCCCAGCTGGGGCTTATGGAGGGTTAACACAGCAAGAGATGCTCTGCAAACAGAGGCTGGAGGGCTTTGGCTTCATGGTTCAAAGGTCTCTCCATGCAGACTGTAAGTCCCCTGGGGGCAGAGATCACCCCTGGCCCTGGAGTGTGTGTGTTTGTGGGACCATTCTCGTGCCAGCCATGACTGGCAGGGCCCAAAGGGACCTTCCCAGTGCAGAAATCAAGACTTTCCTCTGCAATGACCTGACCAAAGCCTCTGCTGCATCATTTGACTCCTCATGTGCCTTGCTGGTCTTTCAACCCATGTGCTTGTTAAGGAATGTGTGTAATAACCATGTGCTTTATCTCGAGTAGCACCCAAGCAGAAGCTGAAGGACAGAGGAGCCTCTTTGATGATCTGCACGGGTTGAATCCACAGCTTATGGAGACTCAGTTGTGGTCGGTCTAAACAAACACTGACTTTAGGGGAAGACACAAAAGCAATTGTTTTAGCCAAGGTGGTGCAGACTGAATATGTGAGGCTGAGCACAAAGATGAGTTTCTGTGCAAATAGGAACCAGTTTGGTTTCACTGGACAGGACATTCATTGGAGCTCTGCCATATTCCTCAGCACAGTTTGATATGTTTAAAACACTGCCTTTTTATTAGAATTATGGTAAAACTAACTTGTCTTTTATCTGATAAATCTGAATACCAGGGCATTGAAATGAATCTTGATTTATTTTTTGTCCAGAAATGAAGCAAAGCTCATGCCTTGCCACCACAGGTCCATCCTTCTTCAGGGTATGCAACTTAAACATGAATTACAGGAACCAGCTAGGCTATCCTCCTGCACCAGAGGATGTGAAAGGGGCCCCAAAAGATGGTCTCATTGTTAAAGACGTGGTCAAAGGTATCTGGGTCATCCCAGACAAACTTTCTGGAGTCCCATCATTGTTAGTATCTCCTTCCCCCACGCCTGTTGAAAGAGGATAACAAATGTGCCCGTTCCCCAGTAGCTGCAGGGGATGATCTGCTCGGCAGATTGACTCTGCTGTGAGCCCAGGGACACCTGAGTGGGCTCCTGCAGCCCAGCTCCATCCAGAACAGCTGTCCTGCTGCAGAGCCTGAATGAGGCTTCTCAGTGTGGGCACAGGCAGAGAAACCTTGTTTGCCTGGCACCAAGCCTAAGCTAACAGCCTTTGCCAAGCCTCAGGTGCAAAATATGTAGAATTATCCCTGGTTTTCTTCTGTGAGAAACCCTCCCTCCCTTTGCCTGGGCAACAGAGATTTGACTGCTTCGTTTCATGCAGCTGCTGTCTGTCTGATCCCACTCCTTGGGGCAGAAGTTGCCTTCTGGACAGTTTTTGTTGAGTGCCCAGCAGAGGGGAGCTCTCCATCTTGCTCACTGCCCATCACTGCTATTACCCTGCAATTAATAGCAGTAGTGGCAGTGCAGTTGCTGAACTGCACGTGGGAACAAGTGTGCTACAGCTGGACACAGCAGTGATGGAAGGGTGCCATTAGCAGCCAAGCTGAAGGGCAGCTGTACATTGCATTCAGTATTTTAGTTACGAAACTGCTGCCCAGTTAGAATTGGAGTTTGTTTATTCCCATTGGGCTGTGCTTTAAATCATCTTGTAGCTTCCTTGGTAAGAAACTGACCATCTTGAATTGCACGTGCTATAACTCACAGGGGCACAGTTTACTTGATAAGGAAGATCAATAAATGGGGTTTATCTAAGTCTGGAGATGCTAAAGATGTGTCTAAGTGCCATGATATTCACTTGTGACCTCCTCTGCCTCTGAGTGACTCTGCAGCGTCCTGGCCATGGTACTTTGCACCGACTCTGGATGGGTTGGCCTTGCTGTGGTCAATTATCTTTGGGAGGGAGAGTTTCAAGCAGGTGGCATGTTGTCCATAGGTGCAGAAAAAGCAGCGTGGACACAGTAAGTCAGGGATGGTGGCAGGAGGCAGGGGGTCTGTGTGCTCTCCAGAGATACAGAAGTGACAAAAAGCTGTTGCCTAATCAGACAGTTCATTGCCAGGCATCTGTTAGGCAGATACCACAGTGTTTGTCTCAGTGAAACGTGCTTATGCTGAAAGATGAATGTTCCCCTCCTTTCTCAGGAGGATTTCAGTGCATGGCAATGACAGCAATGCAACTCACAGGCAGCAGCCAGCACCAGGGACCATCCCACCAAGGGCTGGCAGCAGGGATGAGTCCTGCTCCAAAGCCCCACCAGGCAGTGTATGACTGAAATAATCACACCAAAATTGACAGAAAAGATTTTGAGTCTTCTTACTTTGTAACTATCCTGCTGACTTCAAAGGCTGTTTAATTCTGTCATCCCTTTAATCAAAATAACTGGAGACAGCAAAGATGTTTATCTCCAAACATTGCCAACATCTCTCTACATGTTCAGTGGCAGCTGCAGGACAGAGGAAACACACTGTAAGAAAAATTGCTTGCAGCAACATTTACATCCCAGTGGGACCACAGAGAGAACTCTTGAGGTGCCTTAAATCGATTATTACATGAGTCTGTGGGTAACAATCACTTTGTCACCCTGAATGCTGATTTTTCCCTCAGTGGCTGAACACCAGAGATGTGTTTTTTTATTTTGGGGTAATATTTTGTGTGCACAGGTGGTGGAAAAGGGGAGGGGGGTATGGCAGAGCAAGCTAATTGTTCTGAACAATAGCATTAGCCCTAGAACAAATAGTTCTGGACATAAATAAATTTAGGTAAAGCAAGAAGGTTTCTAAAAAGTAAAGCACTGAGTGTGTGATAAAGCTGCTGATAAGAAAGTGCCAGAAAAAAAAAAAGCAGCATCTCTGCAGACAGAGATCTGAAAGTCATCCCTCTCACTTATTTTTTTTTTGCAGTGGAATAAGCAGAACCACAGTGTGCTGTGTGATGTCTGTATTTATACAGTGCACATGTGTTTTTAAGGGGAAGAAGTCACCATGCACTTCTTTGGCACTTGTTTTCCCAGCAGCACTTCTTCATGAGCACACATTCTGGTCTCTGGAACAAGGTGGTGCTTGGTGAGAGGCAAGGAGGGCAGACAGACCTCTGCCATAGAAACAGTATTGTCACTGAAACCATGATGGGTTTCTACCCAGGACAGTAAATTATAGTTTCAAAGTCCATCTGCTGAAGGTGTTTTGCAGGCTTTCAGAGAGGAGCAGGATTGAGATCATGGTTGCTGTGTGAGAGATCTCCTCCAGTAACTTGGCTGTACTTGATGTTTGTCTGCCAGGGACAGTTTTAATAGTTTTAAATGGTGTTTTAATAGTAATGTGACATTTTGATCATTTTTCGGAGTGGTTTTAACAAATGTACAGCTCATTAAAGTGTATACATGATATCGGGAGTTTATGCCCACAGGCAGCTTTTGCCACGTCTCTCTTATCTCTGTAGTGAATTTTGGTGCTCAGGCACTTCGAATGAGGAGATCCTTTTACAGATTCTTCACAAGAAAGATTGACTGTCCTAAATGATTTTGAGTAGATATTAGGAAGAAATTCTTTAGTATAAGGATGGTGAGGCAGGGAACAGGTTGCATCCCTGGAGGTGTTCAGGACCAGGTTGGATAGGGCTTTGATCAGCCTGATCTAGTAGAAGGTGTCCTTGGCCATGGCAAGGGGGTGGAAGTAGATGATCTTTCAGTCCCTTCCAACCTGAGCCATTCTATGATTCTGTGATCACTATGCACGAGTTCCATCTTCTCAATATTCACTCCCTTTCCCAGATCACTTATGAGCATGTTGAACAGCATAAATCCTCAGGGAAATCCCTTGGCAACCTATTCCCATTATGAAAATAATTTATTTCTTCTCATTCTTTATTTCCCATTGGTAACTATTCATGCAGAAGTGCCCTTCCCCTTTGCACCACTACTGTGCCAATCCCAGAAGAGCCTTGGGTGAAGGACACTTCCAAAAGTCTATGAAAAACACACCTATGCCAGGGACCAGGTTACCCTATCCAAATGGTCATTTTCACTTTGGAAGAACTTGACCGGGTACAAGGCAAGACTGCACTCCACCAAAGCCAATTTGTCTCCATCCCCAGTATATCACAAGTCCATTAATTATGGTCTTTATTATAATCTGTAGCAGTGTGCCAATACAAAAGCCAGATGTCCTGGTGTGTAAGTTCCATGGGCTGCCTTTCTGAGCCCTTTTAAAATCTCACCCTCGGGAATGTGCTGTTCCTTCAGGGTAGATTTGCTGTTCTTTAAGTTGGGAGGCAGATTTGAGGCACTGACATAGCCCATGAGCAGTCTGGCAGTTCCCTGCTCAAGTTTATTCTGACCTCCAGGTTCAGCTGCTGTGCTGCCTGTGAATTTATTGATCTGCTTAAAACCTCTCCATGCCCTCAATATCTAATCTGTTACAGGGCAAAATTCATTAATGTTTGTAAAGCTCATCAAGATCTTTCATGAGCAAATCCCATCATGTTAATATATTTTTAAATGTCACGAGTAAGTTCTCATTACTCATTAAAGAGCTGAAGCAAACAGTGCTTGCCAGACCCAAATATTGGAACAGGCAAGGGCTGCAACTCTTCGTTTACCACTTTTAGGACACTTTCATTTCAATTTGACTTTCTGCCTTGATTCTGCTCTGGCTAATCAGAAGCACCCCTCCAGCTTTTCCAAATGTAGTCTCAGGGATCTCCATGGACCCCTTCTTTAGGAGATATCTGGTTAACTCCATGGGACTCTGAGAGTTTCTGGTCCTGATTGCTGTTAGTGTTGGCCTGGCTTTGCAGTGTGAGATGCCAGCAAGAAGGACAGCAGAGGATGGATGAGCGCATCCAGCAGGTGTTGGATCACAAAACCCTGGGAAACCTCTGCAAAAGCCTTCACCTTCCAACCCAGCATGGTGGTTTGTGCCCCTCCAGTGGCGCCTGTACATTACTGCACATTTCCTGGTGGGTTTGGCTATTGGGACCAAAACCAGGCGTTCTAAGTGTATTTTTCCCTGTCACCTCAGATGTGATCTAGCTCTCTGCGAGAGCTCCACAGTGAACTTGCATTTCTCCTTGTTCTTCCTGCCAGGATGTCTGGAGGAGACATGGCCAAACCTCTGCTGGGCCACGGGAGCACGGAGGGTGACTGCAGCCCCCCGGCGCCGGCCGGGCGCCCCGTGGGGGTGCTGGGCAGCGGGGACTTTGCGCGCTCCCTCGCCCTGCGCCTCGTCTGCTCCGGGCTCAAGGTGGTGGTCGGCAGCCGCAACCCCAAGCGGAAAGCCAGCCTGTTCCCTGCTGCAGCAGAGGTCACCTTCCAGGCAGAGGCGGTGAAGAAGGCGGATGTCATCTTTGTGGCGATTTTCAGGGAACATTACTCCACCCTCTGTGACCTGGCTGATGTGCTGGTGGGCAAGATCCTGGTGGATGTTAGCAACAACACCGAGATCAACCATCACAAGGAATCCAACGCCGAGTACTTGGCCTCCCTGTTCCCAGCCTGCACCGTGGTAAAGGGGTTTAATGTGGTTTCTGCGTGGACGCTGCAGTCGGGTGCCAGGGATGGAAATAAGCAGGTATTGTTTTCTTCCAGCAAGGGCTAAATCCCAGCTGTTTCAGCAGCTGAAGTCTGGAAGCAACAGCAAATGGCCTTAGGCTCCAACAGAAGGAGTCCTGAGTGCTGGCTGTGGCATCCAGAGACCACCCCTTAGCTTCTGCCTTTCTTTGTCCAGACATGAAGTACCTTCACTCAGTTCACACTTTGTAGTCTTAGGAGCATCTGCCTAAGTGAAAAGTATTATTTAGTTGTCTGTTTATTTAAACAGAGCCAGTAAAACAAACTGGCAGTGCATGCATGAAAGGAAATCTGTCCAGGAGAGAGGTCTTTGGCAGCCATGGTAAATCCCTGTCAAAAAGCCTGCCAGGAATCGTGGTGCTCAGTGGAATAACGTAGGCTCCCTGTGACACAGAATCCTCCCCACGCACTTGATCCCAGCAGCCTGATTTCTTTGCCCTATGCGTGTATTTCTGCTTGTTGCAGGTTCTGATCTGCTCAAATAACCAAGAAGCCAAGCGCACCGTAGCAGAAATTGCCCAAGTCATGGGATTCACCCCTGTGGACATGGGCTGCATGTCATCAGCCCGTGAGATCGAGAACATTCCCCTGCGCCTCTTGCCAGCCTGGAAAATCCCCATCTTTTTGGCTCTGGGGCTTTTTCTTTGCTTCTTCACCTACAACCTGATCCGGCAGGTCATCCACCCTTACATCAGGGAGCAGAAGAACAAGCTGTACAAGATCCCCATCGAGGTGGTGAACACCACTCTGCCCTGCGTGTCCTACGTCATGCTCTCTCTGGTCTACCTGCCCGGGGTGCTGGCAGCCTGCTCCCAACTCTACTATGGCACCAAGTACAGGCGCTTCCCAGATTGGCTGGACCAGTGGCTCCAGCACAGGAAGCAGATTGGTCTCCTGAGCTTCTTCTGTGCAGCCCTGCACGCTGTGTACAGCCTGTGCCTGCCCATGCGCCGTTCCCACCGCTACCTGTTAATCGAGACGGCCGTCAAGCAGGTAACGAGTGCTCCTCAGCTCAGCACCTGCAGGAATCTTATAAGCTCACACAGATGTTGGGTGGTGGGCTTAATAGCTTGGCTTTTTCGTTCATTTTCCAAAGCAGGTGTGGGACAGTGGGAAAAAAGCACTAGGAGCACTTCCCCACAGGTCAGCCACACGCCACTGACTGAGCACTCACCTTTTTTCTGCGGGTCAGTGCTCGTTAGTACAGAAAGTTTAAAATTTTCAGGGACTAGGGTTTCAATATCTGTGCTGAGGACCTGCCATCATCCTGGATACACAGCTCCCTCTGCTTTTACAGAGGGCCTAGGATCAACCCCCTCTGCTATTGCTCCCCAGAAACACTGACAAGCCTTGGAAACCAGCCTTGCCTGGCACTGGTGTGTCTGAGACCAGGGCAGAGGCAGGAAAAATTCTAGGATAGGGGAAACCCAGTAGTAGGAGGAGCAGAGTTCCCTTCAGCTCCCAAAATCTTGGGAGATCCCTGTTTGTTCACGCTGATGTTCATAACTGTGCCTGCTGGAGTAACCAAGTCATAACCCAGAGAAGGCTGTGTGTCCTCACCACAGTGTGCCTGCAGGAGTTTAACAAAATGGTGGTGAAGAACCGGTTATATAAGAACAAGGAAATGGAAACGGACTTTATTGCTTTATGGACACTCTCACCAGTGTTTATCCAGTGTGAGATTGCTGCCTTCAGGCAGTCCAGCCAGCTTTGTAACTCCAGTACCATGGGAGGATGGGATTTGTTCTTTGCTGCCCCTACTTCTCACTGCTCCACACTGCTCCCTCCTGGAATGGCACAAGCTTCATGCAGCTGAGGGGGGAATTTGATAAAAGAATTACCCCACACAACCACTCTTGCTTTCTGTGATGGGGTATTTGTTCAAGTGATTCCAAATATTTGCCCCAAAAAGGAGGGAAGGGGCTGTGGGGGCAGAGGGGAGCAGGATGTCTGGTTTTGGCAGCAGTGCCTGTTCAGAGCATCCATCAAACACCATTCCCAGCTGCTCAGCTCCAGCCTTGAGCAGGTTCTTCTCAATTGCCACAGTTGCACATTAATCTCAGGCAAGCATCCTATGTTCATTTCCCCTATGCCTCCTGTTTTCTAGCAACATCTTTGTTTAGTAAATTAAACCCATTTAATGGGCTAAAGAGGACAGTTCTAAATGTTCCTCTTTCCATGCAGTATAAAACCCATCTTCCCTTCCATTAGCATGAACAATTTCCCCCTTAAATGCACTTAAAACAAAGGGTATTAGGAGACTACTGCATATTCAAGCATCAGTATTTGTTTTCATGGCTTTAAGCTGAGTTCTCATTGTAATTATCTTTCCAAATGTGACTTTGGGGCTTGCTGCTGTGGTTACAGGCATGGGAACTGAGAGCAGTCAGCAGTTCTTCCCAGCAGGCTTCAAATCAGGTCTAGCTTTGGCCAAATGGCTTTGGGATAAGAGAGCATTTCCACATCTCCCTAACAGGCAAATAATGCCGGAGGTGTGAATAGGACCCAGTGCTCATCCAGGAAACCTGCTTCCAAAACCAAAACAGATAAAATTCAGTTCCTCTGTCCCTAAGCACCCCGTTTTAACAAACCTTCATTGTCATGCCAGGCTGTGGAGAAGAAGATGACAATCTGGGTAGAGGAGGAAGTCTGGAGGATGGAGATTTATATCTCTGTTGGAATAATTGCCCTGGGCTTGCTGTCGTTACTTGCCATCACTTCACTTCCATCCATCGCAAACTCTCTCAACTGGAGGGAATTCAGTTTCATTCAGGTAAAGTTGACATTTGCTGATGCCAGAGAGTGATTCTGCAGAATCAGTCAGGCCCTCACACAGACAGGGCAGGGGCTGACCTGCTTTCCCAGCACATCCTGCTCTGGCAGGGCAGCTGCAAGCAGCAAAACCTCTCTGTGCACCCCAGAGCCACAGACACCTCATCCAGGAGGAGAGACCCAGAGGCAGAGGGGCAGAGGGCTGTGGTGTGTCCCGGGGTGTGCTGCTCTCACACAGGGCTTGTCCTATCTAAGGAAGGTGCTTTTCTCAGGAGAAGGGAAAATGCAAGGTATCACAGGCATCCACATGTGGATCAGCAGCAGCAGAGCTGCTGCAGGGAGTACCAGGCTGTGCAGGGCAGGCAGGGAACTGCTGTGGAGACAGCTGGCTACAGGACACAGATCTGCCCTTGCTGCTCAGGGAGAGCGAGCTGCTGAAAAGGAGAGCACGTGGGAGGACAGTGCAGGGGAAAGACAGGTTTGGCAGAGCCTGCATGCACCCACATGTTCAAGAGACAAGTTCAAAAAGGCTTAGAGTGGTCTGTAAACTGCCAGAGCCCACACAGCACAGAGAACTGGGTATGATTTCAATGAAAAGGCCATGTCTGATTCCAAAAGCTGAATTAGTAATGTAGTTTTTCCCCAGTGGTTTAGGAGCCCTCCTCCCACTTGCAGTGATGGCCAAGCTCCCAAGGGCCAAATTCCCTTGGTGGCCTGAGTCTATCCCATGGGATGTTCACAGACACCATATTCAGTGGCTGCAGCTTTTTCAGGGATACATTTGGAACCAGGCTTAGGGCAAATAAACAGAGATAGCAGAGAATTAATTTTTCAAGTATCCTCTGCACAAAAGAGCTGATTTTGAGGGCAGATTCCATTCACTATGTCACATTCATATCCTACAGCCCTGAAAACCCCTTGTTGCTTGTGCTTCCTACACCAGGGCTGCTTAGCATGCACCAGGCTTTGTGTCCCACTGCAGTAACCCCTGTGGCACCCAACATGTGTGAGCCCTCCCAGGACCCCCTTCCCCTCCCTTTGCACCCCACTGGCACACACCTAACCCTTCCAAAGGGGAGGGCAGAGTTCAGGGATGCAGAGGTGAATATCTATCATCCAACCTCTGTTAAGCTCTGCTGAAGCTCTTCAGTGGTGTATAAATAATTCAGTATTCATTAGAGCAGGAGTTTGAAGTCTGCTCCCCTGCTTCTCCCGTGAGTGCCCAGATCACCAAACGAGCAATCCAGTTTGTCTTCTTTCCCCTCTTGCTGTGGGCTAGCCAGTAATTATTTACACTGAGTAGAAGAGCTGCACCAGGAGAGCTTGACCCCAAGAGATCATCCCTGGAGGAAAAGGGAGACCTGGCTTTAAACCTCTGTTTCAGACTGGACAATGGGAGCATATTAATTCTCACCACCATGTCTCAGGAGAGGGCTGCAGCTGCTGGGACACTGGATAAATCAGTCCTGACTTATGCATGTCATACCAGGAATCCCAAACGAAGGGAAGTATCCCCTTGCAGCCTGGAGGAGGCTTTGAAACCCCCTGCATTTCCCTTTGGCTCCCCAGGCAGCCTGGCAGCTGTCCTGGAGGGTGCTGGCGTTGTGTCATGTAACACACACGTTGTCGTGGCAGGTAGTGCGTGTAACACGAATGTCCCACCTGCCCTTTGGGACGCCTTCCCGAGCCTTTCTAAGGGCATGTCAGCACTGGGACCAGACAAATCCGTGATGGTCGGTTCCAAAATAGCTCTTGGCTGCCCCTCATGGGAACTGGCTGGCTCAGTTCATGGAAAGATACTCACACCTATTTCTGTCTGCATGGAATAAGGTGTGACAGTGTGACACCAGCTCCCAGCTGATCACATGCAGGAGAGGCACGGCTGGTATTGTGCCTTACTGTGGAAATACCATGTGAAAAGAGAAGGTTACAGATCTCCTGGCATGTTAGCTTCCTTTTTCTTTTTTTTTTAATGAAGGATCTTTTAAATTATTTACTCCTCAATAAGTCAATGGTGCCTTTCTTGAGGAAATTAAAAGAGCAGCTACAGCTACTGCTTCCAGGCTCAGAGGTTACATTCACATAGCTCTGTGTGAGCCTCCCTGAATTAATGCACAGTGGCACAGTGTAAATACAGGGGGTGAGGCATGATGCTGCTTTCTCAAATATTTGGGATTTCTAGCACTTCTGCAGCATAAAAGAGGTGAAATTCAGAGTGCACCCCAGCCAGATGCCTTCCAGAAAATGCAGCGGTTTGTTCCCATGTCAGTTGAACCGGATGGTGTTTGAGAGATGCTGTAGCAAAAGCCACATGTGAGGCAAATTCAGGAATCACTTTAGTCCCCTCCTCACCCAGAGCTTCCCAAATCTGACATTTTCCAGCAGCCAGTGTGTACACCTGTATTAGTGCCATATACTGCCACAGTGTTGAAATACACATCTGTTGCCTGACAGGTGGAAAATCCCATTTGTATTGTTGCCAAAATTATAGGAAAAAAGGTTAATTTTCACATTAGCTCGTGCACATACACAAATTTCAATTAAATACAGTTAAATTGGATGCACAGTTCCCTTGTGTGTCTAGTTTTAACAGAAAGTGTACAGGATCGAAACACAGGTTAACAGGAATGATTTGTATGTAATTCAACTTATAGGAGACATTTTTAATGTTCCCCAGTGATTTACAAATCAACTCTAATTGCCTGAGAAGTAAAAATGTGTATGATTGCCTTTACCTTCCTATCCTGAGAAGCCCTCCTGGAATTTGAAGGTTGAATTGACCTGTTTTCTTTCATAGTTCATGTAGCATAAGATGTAAAGAATCTGTAATCAGACCTTTCCTAACCCTCCTGTCGAGGCAGTGAGAGGGGCCAGAGCTGCTTCCACTGAGATAATAATTTCATAGTACTGATGAAAGTCAGAAACAGATCTGGGTCAGGAAGGGGCTCTTTGCTTTCAGTGCTGCCCAAGCACTTCTAAATGAGCTACATGTGATTGGAGGGAGCCTGCAGACACCAAGAAAATGAGGCTAAAAGAGTTAATGCAGAATAGAAAATACACACAAAGCCTGCATCAAGAAGATACTGTCTTCATACAACATCTTTCAGAGAGCTCTAACACCCTACAGGGCTGCTGGCCCCACATTCCCTATGTTGTGACAGTACAAAAAAACACTTTTCCACTGTTTAAAACAAAACCCAGAAATATTTCATAGCCAGAAACTGCATAGAGAGGATCAATGAGAGCAAAAGAGTGGTATCAGGGCTAAGCACTTTGGCAAATCGGCCCCCTAGGGTGCTCAGCAGGCTCTGCATTGTACTACACTGAGTCTATATTGAGCTGTAAACACCGAGCTGAGCTACAATCAGCAAAACTTTTGAGTTTTGTGCGCTTCCAGACCTGCCTTATCCAGCTGTCTGGTGGGTGCATCAGCACTGGGACCCCCCTCTGCTCACGCCATCAGCTCCTCCTTTAACAGTGCAGCAGCCCATTGCTGCTGCCAGCCCTGTCTCCAGCCACCAGCGCCTTAGCCATGTGTTTGCTGCCATGTGTTTGCTGCCAGTTAGCCTTTCTGTTTCATCCCTGCCATCCACACACAGGTGGGTCAGTCACAGAGTGCCTGTGATGGTTTGTCACCTTGTCACGTTGTTACGTGGTATATTTTTAAAAGTTGTCTGGGCTTTTTAATTGTTTCTCAGCAATCAAATATAGAAGGGGAAGCTATGAATTGAGTAATTCTTTGGCTGAAACTGTTTTTTCGAAAGATGATGAGTCCTTCCTCCCATCTTGCCTTGTTTGCTTATTTCCCTGCCACGTCCTCTTTCCTGGACTTATCTTCAAGAAGACCGTGCTTCTTCTGCACCAAGACACATATTTTGGCTTTTAAAGGCTTTCTTCCCTAAGTTAGAGACATAAGCATCAAAATTTTCCATGTCTAGGCATCTTGAAATTTGGTTGTTATTTCAGGCTTAGACCAAGCATTTCAAAGTAGGGCAGCAGAGCAAGATGCTACACCTGTGCTTTTCTCTGAAAACACAGCAGCAACCCAGTGCTGCTGAGTGCCAGCAGGCTCTGGGAGCCACCACCTCTGATGCTGGCAGGAAACCATCAGTGAGGGAAAGAGTTTAAAACCTGTCTTTGAGAGCAACCCTCAGAGGGAGCTGGAAGTACTCAGGAGATGTTCTCTCTGTGGGTGCTTAGAGCACAATCCCAGCTGAAAATGGGGGAAGTTCTTGCCTGTAGAAGACGGGCTGTGTTCTTGCTGCCTCCCTGAGTGGATAAAGGGCTCTTGACTCCCCATTCCAAGGGCTTAGCCTATCACACAGCCTTTGAACCAACACAGATCCCTAAGACAGCCCTTGAGGGCTGTTGCTCACCTCAGAACAGAGCACTTCTGCCTGCACAATCTCATTTTCCTGTAGATGACTCCAGCCACCTGCAGATGTCTTTGCTCTGTGTGGAGCTGTGGCTTCACCCACTTCCAGCAGTGCCAGCTGTGGTCCAGAGCCACATCACTGATTCTTCATCCTGCTGGTCAGAAGCCTGAGCCAGCCAGGGACTGGCAGGAGCAGAGCTGGGAGCCTCAGTTCGGGAGCAGCCCTTGGGAGCTGCCTGTGCCCACTGCTCAGCAGGGACTGGGGATGCTTCACAGGATGCAGGAGCTCTCCTCTCTGCTGAGTTTGCAGCAACTTCTGTGAAATTCCTGCTGAGCTTCTAATGTCACACTTAACCTCTGATTAGACAAAGAAAACACAGTCTGCCACACTACCCAGGAAAGGTTTCCAGCCATGTTTTATTCTGTCCAGGAAACACAGGAATACCCATTGCTTTCTCTGTGTCATGTACACTTAGAAAATAGTGTCAAAAATACAGGAAGACAGCCAGGCACCCGGTACTTTTCTAACTGGTGTGTGTTTCTTTTCCTTTTAGTCCTCCCTCGGATTTGTTGCCTTGGTGGTCAGCACTCTGCACACACTCACCTACGGCTGGTCGAGGGCCTTTGATGAGAATCAGTACAAATTCTACCTGCCCCCCACCTACACCCTCACACTGCTCGTCCCATGCACTGTGATCATAGCCAAAGTCATCTTCAGTTTGCCCTGCATCCAGCACAGACTTCTGCGAATCAGGAGGGGCTGGGAGAAGGGCAGATACGTCAAATTTGTTCTGCCCAGCGCAACGGGGGAGTTTTCAAGCGGGGAGACCTCCAGTAATGTCTGACAGCCCCAGCTTTGAGGATTTCTAAGCACTATCAACATTTCTATAAAGATGTTTCTTTTTCTTAAATATATGTATGTTTTGGTACAATGGTATTGTGGATAAAAAAAAATAAAATTTGGTGACTTTAGAAAATGGATGGCCATCAAACTAGGTTAGGCAGTAGTAGTGAAATTGTATTGCTGATTTGCTAGGACAATTATTGCCTTAAAAATGACTGTGAGAGCCGAGCTAGCAGCACTAACATACACAGGAAACTGATGGACTCTGTTAGTCAGATCAGTCACTTGATGTGCTGGCTGGCAGCTCCCCAAACCAGTACTTCTCGGTTGCTTTCCTAGCTGCTCTCATAATGCCTTTTTTTTTAACACGAGGTTGCACAGATTTTCTGGGGTTTATGACTGCAAAGATACCCTGCCTCTTGAGTGTATGGATCAATCAAGGCAGTGAGGTTTACAAAGATCAATTGCTGTTGGTTTTGTTCTCCTCAGTGAACTCTGCGGACAAGTCAGAACAGCTAAATTCATCTTATTGTGACAGCAGATTTTACTAAAAACATCAAATCTGACAGTAAGCCCAGTATCCCTGTTCTCTCAAATACAGACAGCACTTCTGGTCCTGGAAGCAGTGCCTGATGCATGTTTATAAGCTGAGGAAATAAAGCACCTTTACCAGCAGTATAAAAGCATTTGAGAGAGAGAGACATCCCTAATACCAGACGTCTGGTCTGCACTGCTGGCTCTGAGATGACAGCTACTGCTGCATGTTCTCTGTTACACTGAGCCAACGTTTCAAGCAGTATTTGATGGAAATAGAGCGAGGATAATTATTGGAAAGGCCTGCTGCTTCACAAAATTACATGGAGAAAACCAAGGCCTTCCAGCTGGCCTTACATCAAATAATAGGGTGAAGCTTTTAGAAATCGCTGTCACCTGAACATTCCCATTTAAGCAAACAAAACAACAGCTCTAAACCCACTGGTTTCACTAGCAATAATAAGATCTTTGAACAGTCCTGCAAAGGGATCATCAAGTCTCAACCACAACATGAAAACATGGCAGTTGTACATTTTGGGTACAGTCCTTCATTGCCTTACACCTTAAAAAGTCACTTGCTAGATCACAAAGCAGGTATGAAATGCTCTTCTGACTTCACACCCACTGTGGACAAGGCACAGGACAAAGAAGATTTCTGTCCTAATTTCACGTTTCACCTGTTGCTTTCTATGAAGTTCTTCCTCTTTATCAGAACAATTCATTAGGTTTTGGACATTGAAATCACCAAACAGTGAATGGACAGGCATTCACTAAAGGTCATTTAAAAGCAAGCAATCGGGATGACACAAGAAGACTACCTCAGTAAGGTCAGGTACAAGGACATGCCTGGAATAGCCTCATTTTCCTACAGTTAAGGAAAAGACACTCATTTTTTAGTATTGCTTTGAGAAACAAGAGCTGTCAGCACCAAATGAGGCACAGCTTGAGAAACAAGGAAGTACTTATTACCAGAGCAGTTAATATAAAGGGCAGGGGGAATTATCAGCTTTGGGGCACATAAGCCCTTCTACAAGCCAACATTGCTCCCATAACCTGGAAGAGTTCTACACAGACAGAGGCTCATAAGAATTCCCTGTTTAGCCTCAAGTAACTACAGTGAGTAATACTCTCCAAATATTACTCATGTGGCCAGTGATGATATTGAGTGTTAGTTCTTGCCTAACATTTACAGTAACGTCTCCAAATGCTGCTTCTTCTTGCTAAATAAAAATAATATGACTTGAGGGGAAAGCCTGGATTTCATAATCAGGTGATTTTCTTGTTGCTGTTTTGATGGGATTTGGACAACATGTTGAAGATTTTTTACCACTGTTTCCCTCAGCAAGCTGAATTTATTAGGCTTCCCCATCCACCTCCAGAACTTAGCCCAGATTGGCACCTGACCTAATCACTCTCCAAGGAGACTGATGACCCAGCTATTTACTTCTGGTTAGATGATAAGTTAAGTTTCCACATGGATTTGAGACAGTTTCACTTGAATATAATTCTACCCACTCCAGTTTAACTCATTCTTGAGGGAAGACTGGATTCAACCTGTTTTTTTAGTTATCTTTTCCATTTCATCATCAGGCAAAGACAACAAAAAAGCATCAGTTTACTCTCTTTATGGTATATTTCAAAGCCCTTTTTTCCCAAATAGGTTTCTTTTCATATCTTTAGGCAAGACTACTGTCTGGCAGTCAAAAATATTAGGAGGCAGGGAAAGAGCATTTCACAGGCTCACAAGCTTTGTCTTCAAGGGGAAAAGAATGGTTTATTTTGGGTCACTGCAAGGTCAAAGACTCACCTTTCTGCCCAGCAGAAGGTTTGCACCCTCGCTTGGCTTACATGACTTCCATGCCTGCAAACCCTTTCCCATGGCAAAGGGACAGTTTCCATGAGCAGAAGGGGAGTCAGTGAGTCAGCGTGGTGCCTTTCACATGGACACAAGCCCAAAGGGACAGACAAGCCAGCTCAAAATCCCCACAGCTACTGCAGCTCTAAAGCATCTAAAAAAAAAAAGCTGGTCAGCTGTCTCCAGGTAATGCCTGTGCCAACAGACTGGCCAGTCTCCCACCATCCCTTTTGAAAACCAAAATCAATTCTTATAAATGCAGGGCAGCATTTCACATAATTTCACATAATATTTCACAGCCCTCTGTATGCATCTGGTCCTTAAAACATGTGACACAGCAGTTTGAGTAATTTCTTCTGATTCTGGAATGCTGAAAATGAAACTAAGGAAGTTTTCAATTATCTTTTTGCTAAGCATTTTTGATGTGCATAGGACATTCAGTGAAATTGGCTTAAAATTTACCATTTAACTGGTTTTGTACTTGAAGTTTTTCTCTCTCTGTATATATGTACACACACACAAATATATATATATATACATCTTATTGCAGAATATATAGCTTGAATGTAAAAATCTTTGTATTTTTATTTTCTGTACTGCCTATGTGCCTCTGGGATATGTAAGAACCAAATTAAAAGCTGTAAGAGTAAGGCCAGTTTTAATCACTGGCCTCTAGTTATATAAAGATATTCTGAACAGGTCTACATAATTATATCAGAACTCGTGTGAGTCTTTTTTCCCATCTTCCCCTCCCAAAAAACATTACTTTAATGGCAGTAGCAGAGTAGTGTGATTATCTAGAATTTAACCACTAAGAAATAAAACTCACTACAGCCAGCAGCTTGTAGAATCTCATTATCGAGGTAATAAAATGATCATTGCTGTGACCCATGGTGCCAGGGCTCAATTACAGAGTTCCTATGTGTGTGAGAGGGCACAAGTGTGTACAGACATATATTTCATTACAGGGGGCTACTGATATTACACAGCACTTGTAGCACAGGATCAAACAAGCTTAATTCACTAAATAGAAAGTGCTGTTGATACAGAGTTCAAGGAAGAAGGAGTTCCAGATGGGGGACTGCAAAGAAAGATGGAGTTTTAATACTGTAAATTTGTTCTCTGCTTCTTAAGTCACTTTTTCATACAAGTGGCATGCCAGATCAACCAACTTCTGGATCTGCAGTATTGCATTTTAATGAGCTAATTTGTAAGTTGATTTTAATGAGTTCATTTAAATTCCTGACTGAAGATTAACCTCTGCAGGTACAGTTCTCTCACTCCTTCAGTTTTATAATACAAGGCTTTAAACAGTGCAATTGGTTTCTTGCTCTTAAGGGATTTACTCACAAAGGAATATATCAAACTGTAGTTAAAACTTTAGGGGGATGCATTTGCTTCAGCACTTCTGTGCAATATATTTCCTCCAGTATCTCCAAGATGGCCAGCACAGCTACAATCAGCAACAAAACCTGCTGTTATTCTTGAGCTCTAAATTTCACACACTGAGCTAGCTGGATTTGCAGACTGTGCCTTGGTTTTGAGGAATGAGATGTTACACTAGGACAGTTTTCTTTCATCTATTTATTTTGCCTTAATAAGCAGCATCAGCTTTGCAGAATTTCGGCACAAGGGTTTTTTTTTGTGTGTGTGTGAGAACCACACACATTTTAAAGCTGAGCACAGCATACTCAGATACCATCTATGATTAGAGACAGTTCTTGTTAGCAGAGCATGTACAGGACGTCCATAATCAAAGACTAAAAATAAGCATTGTCTGGGGCCAGTCAGGAGGATCACATACCACAAGCCATAGTATTACTGAAACCTTTCAAAGACCTAAAGTGGCACAAGTGCATCCTCCCAGAAAGATAATCTGCTTTAGATTTAGAAATCTCAACACTGCAGGATGCACTACAGCTGCTGTTCAGCTGGTTAGTTATCTTGTTACCTGCCTCCCAAATCTGATCTGCAATTAGCTACCTTCAGCTGCTGCATGCCAGCCTGCTGCCCTAAAGAGCTGTCTGCAGCCAGATGTCTGCTTTCAAAGTAGCTGTCTCCTTCAGCACCCTAGAAAACAAGAATCTTGCACCTGTGCAAGATTCAAGTCTGTGTTCTGCAAAACCAGTTGTATTTGATTTGGGAGGGATGAGGCAGGGGAATAGTTGGGAAGAAATGGCCATCATGGTAACTGCTGGGATACAAAGCTATCATGGCTAGATTGTTCTTTGACTCCAAAGCCAGCTGATGCCCTCCAAGAGGATGGACATAATGATAGAAGCACAGAAAAAGACCTTTAGGATCATCGAGTCCAACTGTTATCCCAGCACTACCAAGCCCATCACTCAAACACGTCCCCAAGTGCCACACATACAAGCCTTGTAAAGCCCTCCAGGGTTGGTGACTCCATTTCCCAGGGCAGCCTGTTCCAATGTTTCACAACCCTTTTGGTGAATAAATATTTCCAAATATCCAGTCTAAACCTCCTCTGGCACAACTTGAGGACTTTTCCTCTTGTCCTGTCACTGGTAACTTGAAGGAAGAGACCAACATGCAAATGCCAGCAGAGAGGCAAAGATGTGACTTCAAACTAGTGTTGAAATCAGACCAACATTTTAAAAATCCCAGCTCACTGAAGATAAGGGGCTTCCCAAACTGTTCTAAAGAATATGTTCCTTGTGCTGTAGGTTAGAGAGCAGAATTAAACCTTCTCAGGTGTGGAATGAGAGCAGACAGCAGCAGTACTCACATTCAGTACAGACATTCCTGGTACACAACACTGTAAGTCACCTGCCAGAGAGCAGGAATGGACAGACAAAGGTAAATTCTTACATTAATCTGTCCCACTGAGCCCTTTAATGTACTCACTACCAAGTGAAATTCCCACTCTCCTGGCTATCTACTTCTGTCCCACTACAAAGGAATGAATCTCTTGGTATTAGAGGGAGAGGATGGTAACAAACAGAAGTTACAATCCATATCTGATCAAAAATACCACATCTACAGGGACATAAAAGCCCAGTGCCCCATCCTCTGTCCCACTGCCTCACCACCTTAAACACCCACTTCTCCTCTCATCTACCTGCCACGCATGCCAAGCTTCCAGACAAGGTCCTGGTCCCCTGCAAAGCAGAACTCAGTGCTGTGCAGAAGGGACAGAAGCCAGAATAACACCTCCCAAAC